GGGGGGGGGATACTAGTCATGCCAGTTTTGAGTGGGGGGATACTATAGTCATGCCAGTATTGAGTGGGGGGATATTAGTCATGCCAGTATTGAGTGGGGGATACTAGTCATGCCAGTATTGAGTAGGTTACTGTAATTTCTGTCAACATTGGCTAGTCTAGATTTGATAAAATGTAATTATTGCTTCTTAATTGGAAACTTCACTTTCTGTTCCTTTTTGTTAGTTTTGTAAATGAATACTCAACAAATGTTGGACTTTGGTCTGATTACGCTGACTTCCCCACTGATTTAGAACCATGCCCGTGGTAGTGTTTTAATGGCTGTTGACTTTACTGTGACATTACGAGGTCACTTCTGACACCTGTTCTCGTTTAAAAGTCCTGTGTATTATATCATCATCTTCAAACACCATGAAAATTCTATGTGCATTTGTATGCAAGTTTAGTTCCAAATTTTAATCTTGAAATCTCTTTTTATTTCAAACACCTAAAGTGCATAGTCATTTGCCAAAACACACAATTATCTCACAAGAGCAAACACAATCACAACACATGTAAATTTATTTAACATGAGCCCCAAGGAACTTTGTTTCAAATTATACCAATAAAAAACACGTCTTTTGAGTCCTTCCTGACATAACATTGACACAGCAGGCGTCCCATTACGTTTGAAAACTTAACCAATAGCACTATAGGCTTGATCACACTGGCTAATTTACAGTCACAAAAGAGCCCCGACTAACGGCCGTACATCAACTCTGCCGTCAAATACACCTCAATTACTACATCTGACCCTGAATTAGATTAGTTGATATAATAGCTATATATTTCATATACCTGTTACATATGTAGTATAAAATTTATAACCAAAGTATTGAGGCTAATATTTTTAACCGAAAAACTATTTTAAATCATCAGATTTTGGTTGTATTTTTTATATTGTTTAACAAGTTTGTTCTCGGTTAAAGTTTGTCCAGAGATTAGTCATTTTTTCTGACAGGAAGAAACCTTACCCATAGATGAACACCTGATAATACTCGGAGCCTTGTAAAACACAATGGATTTCATATTTACAATTTATGGCGACTTAGATAAAGTTCCTTGGTGTTAGTGTAAAGATACGGAATGAATAAACCCATTTAAATACCCTGGTGAGGAAAAAAAACATAGGTGGATTTGAAACAATGGCGTGTTTATTTTCGCACCGACTAGTATTGTGGGAAACGCACCCTGTCCGTTATGAGGACAAGTGAATCTGATGGCGAGGATTCAGGTCCAATAGAGCCAACGTTTTATCATTATATTGTGGACCAAGTTTATTTTCTCTGAAGAAAGTGCCTATTGAGGATAATGTAAAAATTCCATGTTGATAAAAATCTAGATTTTATAGGTAGGTTAACAGGAAAACTACCTGAGAAAAATCGTGGAACTTTTATCTGAAGTATAATTAAACATTATATCAGAGGGATTAATCAGAGAGAAGTTGAATTTCTGATGATTATCACTATATAAATGAGGAGTTTGATAAAGTTGCAATTCTAAAAAGAATTCATTCCTAACTTGACCAGACTTGGGAGTTGTGTGCTTGTAATGATGAAAAACCTGCAATGTGCTTACCCAGGTAAGTTTTGTTTTTCTATAAGTAAATAGAAACAGGAATGAAGTGGGTTTTTTAATGAAAAACTGATTTAAATTTGTATATGCATCAAAATAGGATTTTTTCTTTATGTTGAGGTACATTGTATTAATTATATAGGTTCTTCACTGTAGTAATATTACACTGCTCATTTACTTCTGTTGTTGTGTTAATGATTTGAATATAAACTATCAGGAATTTAAACAGAACCAGTTTGATAAAGACTCTTCAGTGTTGAAGGGAGATAAGTACAGTCTGATGCACAGTGTTGACATGACTTTTCATAGTCTTCTGTTAGACATCGTAAATTATCTGGTGAGCTGTATAGTTTTAATGTATTCAACATTATATATATACATACATCATAACTCTCTAGCCATATGATTAACATAAACAAACAGGGCATATCTACACAGAACGGCATCTAAAATTTCAATTTAGGTGATCAATAACGATGTCTGTTAAATAATTGATTGGGTGTGATGGTTGGTTGAATCGGTACCCTATATATGTACCCAGAGAATGGCCGTTACAGTGCGGCGTCAGGCAGAACACCTTCACAGGCGTGTCACATGCATCTTTAATCATCTCTCACCTGTAGGACATGTGACACGTCGGTACATCAGCATGTCTATGTCACTAATTGATTGTACATCCTCCTGTGCAGTGTGTGCACAGCCTTTCGCGGAGTATCATCAAGGTCCCCGGACAGGTATATTATAGTTATAATTTAGTACTGGTCTTGCTTTTGCTAATGATACAATAGGTCTTCAGAACATTGAAATGAAAACTTGGCCCACATTGCTTCCTTTTAGTAAACTTTTCATTTAAGTTTTAAGTTTCAAAATGTCTGCCATTCTTAAGTCAAAATTTTGCAAAATTTTATTATAGTTTATAATTGGTCAAAAATAATATATTTTCTGAGAACAGGCATAAACATATCTTAAAGTGCAACTAAAATATTTTGGAGTGATAGCATTCTTGATCTTTTGTGAAGAAGATTTTGGTGGTGCCTTCTGCAATGCCAAAATAACAATACAGTGACTGATGATGAGAGACAGCAGAAAAGTTAAGGATTTGTCTACATCACTACAAGCTGCTTCATCTTGTTGACAGACATTTGTCAGAACACAACAAGCTTTCTGCTGCAAATGAGTCAAAGGCGCTGAAACAAAATCCTGGAGAAGATTCTTCACTAGGTTGGGATGAGGTTGTATGGACTTGTCAGCACCAATGTGAGAAATTGTCTTATTTATGATGGATGAGGCAGGTTATCCACAAAAATGGTTTCTATCTTGATGATGTGAACTCAAAATTAGAAAAACTTCTGGTTTTGTTTTGGCAAGATTGGTGTTTTTGATAGAGAATGTCTGCTGATGGGGTTGTGTATACTTGGGCACTGTCTGGAAATCTGCTATAGTTGATTGGGAGTGAGAANCTTGGGAGAGGAAGGAGACATAATTACAACTAGGGGAGGGCTGTGTGGACACTAGAGGAGGATTATAATGGGAGATATGGAAAAATTGGGGGCAGATGAGGGGTACTAAGGGGAGAGGGAATGAGAGAGATGGACCCTGGTGAGGGGGACATGTTGCTAAAGGAAGATTGGACACTGGGGAGGGAGACAACTATCTAATAGTGGAAGTGGATATAAGGAAAGGGGGAGATGCTAAGGGAAGATAAGGTGTGCATGGACACTGGGGGAAGGGGGTGGGAGGGACAGACACTGGGGGAGGGGGAGGGACAGACACTGGGGGAGGGATTGACACTGGGGGAGGGACAGACACTGGGGGAAGGGGAGGGACAGACACTGGGGGAGGGACAGACACTGGGGGAGGGATGGACACTGGGGGAGGGGGAGGGACAGACACTGGGGGAGGGATGGACACTGGGGAAATTAAGGTACAATACTCGGAGAGGTGGACACTGGTGGAGGGGGAGGAACGAACACTGGGAAAGGGTACAATACTAAAGGAGGGTCGGACACTGGGGAGGGGGAGGAACGAACACTGGGGAAGGGTACAATACTCAGGGAGGGTCGGACACTGGGGAGGGGGAGGAACGAACACTGGGAAAGGGTACAATACTCAGGGAGGGTCGGACACTGGGGAGGGGGATAATGCTAATGGAGTTAATTGGAGTAGGAAGACAGAGAGTGTGTGGGATATGGTATATGGGAAAGGGGACCTTACAGTACCATGATTGCTTTAGTAAGAGCATTTGGTATTGTTTTCATTTGGGTGTAGAGTTTACCTGGGAAATGTTGTACACAACATCAACGTTACAGCCAGTACATTTTACACTTTCACTGTGAGGTATATAACACATATCTGAAATTTAACTTATCATTATGTATATAGCTGTCAATGACTAATGGTACATCTACCAATTATTATATATTAGCAGTTTTCATGAAATCGTTCAGGAAAGACTGACAGACAAATATACCCAGAGATGATGCCCAGTGTATTCATGATGATTGGGCTTTAAATCTACCAGAACGAATCATCATTGTGCTCCAGAAAATCCTCAATCGAGTCATAAAAATGCATTAATTAATCCTACCCTCCAGTAACAGAAGAGAGTTAGGATTAATTAGTACTGTCCCCATATTAATACCCTGTCTGAAAGCCTTAGTTGAGCTATCTCCCTTTGTACCAGTTTTATAGGCCTCAGTCAGACTAAACCCCATACTGGGGAAGGGTGTTAATTTTCCAATTAGGCAGGGCAAGGTCAGGCTGTGTGCTGGCCCCCGTTGCTTTATAGACCTGTACATTGTAATATGCACACTTGATAGTACTCTTGCTTTCCATACAAACAGCTTCTCTGTTTAATCCCCATTGAACAGGTTGTTTTTCATTCATTTTGTACCACACCACAATAAGTCAGGCACTTAAAAAAAAAAAAAAAAAAAAAATTGCTTTTGAAAAAAAAAAAATGGCTTTTGAATCGAGATTTAAAACTTTCCCTACTTTACAAAATGTAGTTTCCATCACACACCTGTTGTGACTTGTGGTCAGTTTGTTTTGTCAAATATATAATGACAGGTCTGTACTTCACAGATGTTGACCAGTGCTGTTGCTGGTCCTAATTGCTCTGATTGGAGTGACCTTGTAATGTACATTGTTAGTATGGAAGTGTGAGTAATGCATGTATACAGTAGCCGAAGGCAATGACCAGTACGCAATGACCAGTACGGACACAGAAACATTTAACTTCAAACAATATGGCCACATTAACCTGGTGTGTCGGGGGTTACATATTGTCCTGTGTAACAAGCTCCAGTTTTCACACAATATTTGTGTGATTAATGGCTGATAACTCATTCTGTGAGAGAACGATTTAATTCGGAGGTTTCATTTAGAAAGTTTAATCGGAAAGATTAATCAGAAGGTTTTATCAGAGAGTTTTACTTATGATTCATGTCGATTTCTTGCTTTGCCTCGGTTGGCGAGTTTTATCATCAGGACTGAAATCAATTGAAGTCAAATCAAATGTATTTAAAGCATGCTCAAGTTGTAAGACGAAGAGTTTAAATATTTTTGCAGTCTCATTTAAAAACTTACGAAATGGGAAAAATATATAATAATATATATAAAATCTGGAGATAAAGTACTACCATTTAGTGAAGGGGGGAAAATGGTGACAGTTCAATGATTAAACAGATGATGATATTGCCATTTAGCCCAACTGTTTTGAGACGGATGTTTATCTGTTGAAATACCCTTTATAACTGTCTATTTATACAGTATATGATAAGTGAAACCATGAGTTAATACACATAAAGTCTACTCACAGTGTCTGAACTGAACACCCTTTACACCATGTAATTTGGCCAGTTTGTAAAGAGTTTTTGATTATAGAGGGTTTACTCGATATACATTGTCTTTGTTGGAATAAGTTCAGATTAGACAGGGTCTGGTAAAGACAGTGTAATGCATCAACATTGTGAAGTATAGGTTGTTAATTATTTAGTGCTGAGTCTAGACCTGCTATAGACCCTGGTTGGGTATACATTGTACATATGTAATTTGGGATATATCAATCAGCGCCCAAATTGCCACCGACATGTGCCGTCTTTCATCCTCACGGTTATAGATACTACCTGTAATGCGTGACCTTGTACCGACAGGTAGCTGGTCAGACCCAGGACCAGCTTCCTACATATTACTTACTGTGAAAACAGGGCCACAACACTGGCAAAATAATTATACAGTGCACTGCCAAAAGTCATACCACATTTGTTTGTTTATCATCAATGAGGCTTGATGGCCAGTTTGATTAGACAAAGTGTCACATTTCGCCCCCCAACAGATCAACATTGCTGGGTATTATGGTAGCTTGACTGTCATTGGCTGGCTGTATACATGGGCCAGTGAGTGTAGGAGGGACTTCAGTGTGTGTTAGTGGAGGAGGACCCACGTGTATTGATGACTTGACTAGTGTGTAACTTCACGTAGGTTGTTGTGTTGTTATGTTTTTAAAAAAGTGTGACATTTCCTATATTTTCAGTGTGTAATGGAATAGTTTTCAATCCTTGATAGAGGAAATACAAGTGGAGCTATTTGGAGCATCATTACACCTATATACATCACTAGGACGGAACGATTCACTACTAACACAGGGAAGGAGCATCAGCAGTACTGTACTCCTACAAAAAGGAAATTAATTACCCCCTTAATGACAAGGTGAGTTCATCACATCATTCAAAAACAACTCTCTTATGTAGATTTTTTAGATTTTTTTCAAAACTAAAATATCCTGTAATTGACAGATGTATAGATGATAATTTGATACAGGGCTACCACGAGTCACATTAACAGATTGATTTTCCACTGACATTGGAACAATTAGTCAATACAATGTACAAAGTTGTATTCACCAATAAGAGCCCTCCAGTGGGATAAGTTGACAGAACATTAACAATTTGTAAAAATTCAATGTACAAAATTCTTAAAATAACAATACTTATCATTGACAACCTTCGTCTTAATGACAATGTGTGAAGACTGCGTTGAGATTTTTTTGTACTACAGGAATGTACTAATTGAACTGCCATGTATTGTTCTACAACAATAGATTTGTATCTGATTGTTTTCCTTCCAATGCCCAATACACTCACTAAGGTTTTAACAATCTTCATAACTGTGATGTAAAAGATGGCTGAAGATAATTGAGATAGAGGATAAAAAAAGATGAAAGAAGTTAGAGGTTCAATTTTTCAAAAACTGTTAACCACATCTCCAATGGCAATTCAAACTGTTTGAATGTATTACAACTGTGCTATATTTATCTTATCTTGTCATGTCATATTGCGTGCTATGTAAATTGTCCTTTTTTCAAATCGTGCACAAATTACTTCAATTAACGAACATTATATTTGGATACATATTGATAACCCAAAGATAATTTGTTTTTGCTAAAAATCTGATTCATAAATGTGAAAATATTTACCTGTATTATGTAGATTTTAGATTTACTAACATGTAAGGATTGAGACTTAATTAGGTATCATTAGTCCGTACCTGTTAATCATTGATCCTGTTATACTCCACACAACACTGTCCTTGTAATAGTTATTACCAAATTCAACTGAATTAAAAATCTGAAGTGAACATAAAATTTATTTTAGAAACTTCCTTATTAATGTTTGTTAATTTTAGAATTATTTTTAGAAACTTTTTACTGGTAAAAAAAAAATCGCACCTGGTTTTTGCAGGTAGACTTCTTATTTTTTCATATTTTTAGAAAATGTCACCGTTGATCCACAAATATGCTTTAATTATGAAATTGTTGAAATATTTCTCACTCTTAAAACTTCATTTTCTGAATCCTTCAGATCAATTCATGTTTGATGACTGATCAAATTGTGCATTGACAACCACCTTTTTCAACATGTTGTGTATCCGAGTACCTTACAAGATTTCTTAATGAAAAATATACCCCCAGTCAGTGAAACTGTTCTAAATAGGCACATATTTTGTATTCAATCTTTTGTGTGGGGCTTATAATTACCTTTCACATAGAATTAATATTACTTTATAATAGAGATATTGAATAGTTTTACAAAACTGTATACATGTGTTAGAACGTGGATACAAAGGTGGAAAAACTCTAAAATATTTCTGTATTAATTGAAGGAAATTCAATATCGGGCTGTAAATCAGAGACAAAATCAGGGATATGTGGGTATTAGGGAGATTTAGAATTCAAGTAGGAAAGGAAAGAAAGGAAGCTTTAAAAGACATAGCGTTACAGGGATCTGGTTGGACATCTATGGGTGATTATTTTGCGTAAAATGAAATGATAGCCTCCAATAGCCACGATACAGGGGATAAGGTTCACTACGACTGGCCCTGATGAATGGAATCACTGGAGAATATTATCACAAATTTATCTTAATAGCCCGGACTTAGCTGCTGGTAATTTGACCACGCAATGGACTAGTGAAAAAGTACAACCAAAAAAATAACACGTGGAAGATAGTGGACACTCCTAAATCTCCATTCGTGTTGGGAGGGATGTGGAACTCTCACATTTTCATGGGATTTTGATGTCTGAAGAGGCCCAGTCAACGTACACTAGGGTATAGAGTTCTTGTCCAGGAACATCCCCCAAGGGGTCGACTCGGAGGTCAGCCTCGGAGTCCATGGATGAGGGAGTGTGAAATTTGATGAAAATGCTGCTGATAAGGACTAGCATAAATCTTACCAAATCTTAGCAACAGAAGACATTTTTCAATGGGCTTGAAATTAGAAATGAGATAATAGGCAAGCTGCTCTCTAGAGTAAGGGTGTGTGATAGCAGGTCCCTATCACTGAAGGATGGGGAAGCTGTCATTTAGTGTGTGAAATATGTCAAAGTCAAATCAAGTTCACGTGTCTTTCTGGTTGCATCTGTTGGACTGGTGCATCATAGCCTTTCAAAGGAGTTTTCTTTTACTCCAAGGATACCACCCAATTGTTCAGGTATGTTTTCATATCTACAAACATAAGGAACTTTAATTTTGGTCTGCTAAACTCTTGGCAGCGTTTCAATTGTTGATAAGTATATTTTGTATTAAAAAAGAGAATTGACATGGGTAGAAAATTGTTTTGAATCCAGTCTGAGGTGCCAGATATATATGAATGGATCGTATGAAACTTTCTTTTTCATAATCTATTTAATCATTTTTCAAAGCATGCTAGGAATAGTACTTTCATAAGTGAACATGAATTTTTAAGTACTCTATGAAATATTCCATTATTGTGTTTTTGACTGACTTCACTGATAATCATACATGCGATGGTTTGTCTTTGTTATCATACTGGGAATTGATGGAATAAACGATCGATTGTAGGAATTCAGTTTGATTAATGAAAAGTTCATCCTGATGATAAATGTCCTGTACAAGCTCTGACATGGTTACATGGGAATCTCATTATGTAAAATGATGATGTGTTTCATATTGGAGATCAATCTGGTTGTATGTATTGGTTTGTGTTTTGCCTGTCATGTAAGCATGCAACTATTGATAGTCAAGTAAATTGTAGCGACTCCCCTAGTCTATCACTGTCGTATATAGGATCTTGATAGCAATGTATAGAGCTAAAAATTTAAGCATAAATATAAACAAAAAACTGCCAGTTTAAAACTTAATACAGGAACATGCTTCTGATGATTCATATCCTTTTGAAGTTTTTGTGAAAATTGATGTCTGAGAACATATGATTATTCAACAATAATAAAGTAGATGTAGAAAATTAAATCTTAATTGGTTATGTCTGCAGTAAACAAAGAGAAACTGCATAAAAACAGCCAGTACTGTGTGGGCTTGATAAGACAATGAAGATTTTCTTATACCTTGCGACATAAGATAAAGACAACTCTTCAAATATAGTGCAACGTAGATTAATCTCGTGTCCTATACCCCTAATTTTTGATTCTGTAGAGTTTAGTCGGCACGATCTATAGGTTTTCATTGTGTGTAATTAAGGCAGATTAAGTCTTCAAGTTTCACAAAATATCAGAAGTGTGCACATCTTGTTCTAATACAGGTTAAAGGGGAGAGAAATACTATCTGTACCTGTCTGTATAGTAAAGCCTTTTACTAAAGTACCAGCCTAAGTATGGTGGCCAACTGGTCGTTATAACCTAATCACTTTTGTGTGCTGGCAATTATCAAATGATGCATGCTCCTTATTAGATATTGATATCCTGTCTTATGTAACCTTCAAACAATTCCAAGGTCAATTTGAATTGTCTTCGTTAGTATTTACCAAGGAGCTGATGCTATTTATATCGACTATAAGGCTTGATTAACATGTATAATGATATGTGATCCTTATCTTGAGATTACCTAGGTCTATTCTTAGTTCTTATATTACTCAAATAATTGTGCACATTAAAACATTAAACTGTTAAATGTCTTGATAACATGAGTTTTTAGCATATTTTTGTGATTAATCTTTATGATAATAATGTTGTACAGTGCAAAACTAAGTCCTCAATTAATTCATAACATTATGTTTACACCGTATTAAAACAGTAATCATGCTGTATCATACTTTTATTATTGTGTCCCATTTGCATGAACGAAAAATGGAAATAACCTACTATACCGTCGTATCCTGACAAAGTCTCGTTGTTAGAGATACGTGTATGAATATCATGACTTATACCCATTATCACAGATGATGTGATATTCATAACACACATATCTGATTTCATACCTTCACACTAAACTAAGCAACAGCCAAACTTGGACTTAAATGTAATTCAATACTGTAAAATGAAAAGTTTTCACCTACTTCTCCCACGAACACTGGGCAAACTATAAAGCTTGCTTCGCGGACAGATTCAACGCTTCGTTAGCAATTGTTTTTCAAGAAGATAAAATGTCACAATTATCAAGGTACAAAAATATTTTGATGTCTTTCATCATAGAAGACTAAGTTCTTAAAATAATTTTTTGATATAAACATATAAATGTATTAGAAAAAAATTGGATTAAAGATTTTATTTTTTTCGCTATCCTGTGGAGGTGACCATTCTCAAAATAGACTTTTAGCAAAAATAGACTGTTGATAATTTAACCTAATGTTGGGTATAAGAATTTCTTTATCTGAAAATACAAATTTTCAAACCAGGAAGTGCATGTTTTGTTTGGAGTAAATAGTGTTTGTTTGAGGTTTGAGGATAACTCAAAATGAGAAATTAATGGTAGCTCTTAATTGATCAGCTGACTAATATGTTCTAATGTATCAAATCTAGAGCCATCATAATGGAAAAGATTTTTGTTGGTGAGTAATTAATTATTAACAATTCAGCGTAGCTTTTAGTGTCAACTCGATGGCGTGTGATGTTTCCAAGACAACACCACACATTTTGCTACGGTTGCTGCACAATGTGTTTTTGACTTGGTTCAGTTTGTCTATAATTACAAGTTTGAATTAACGCGTCTATAGCAACTTCCATCGAAGCAAAATTTACAAGGAAAGGAAAGAATATTGTGAAAAGTGTGGAATATTAACATCCAACCTTTCAACAGCATTGCACAATTGCTAGTGAGTTGGCCAAGAGAACCTTGACAGAAGTTGGACATATTTGGTGTATAAACAATACACTTAACCATAAGTATAGTTGCAGTGTTTCTCATTTGTTGGAGTTGGTAGAGGTTGAAAGGGTATGAACAGGTTGTAATCGAAAA